TCCTTCTTTCTTTCTTTCTTTCTTTCTTTCTTTCTTTCTTTTTCTTTCTTCTTTCTTTCTTTCTTTCTTTCTCTTTCTTTCTTTCTTTTTTTCTTTCTTTCTTTCCTTCCCCTTCCTCCTCCCTCCCTCCTTGTCCTGCTTCTCCTTCTTTCCTTCCTCCCTCCCTCCCTCACTCCTCACTTCCATTCCTATTTCCTACTTCCCTTCCTCCCTCATCTTGCATTCTCCTGTCTTCTTTCCACCCTTGTCTTGCCTTCCCCTTCCTCCTCCCTCCCTCCTTGTCCTGCTTCTCCTTCTTTCCTTCCTCCCTCCCTCCCTCACTCCTCACTTCCATTCCTATTTCCTACTTCCCTTCCTCCCTCATCTTGCATTCTCCTGTCTTCTTTCCACCCTTGCCTTGCCTTCTCCTTCCTTCCTTCCTCCCACCCATCCACCCTCCCATTCCTATTTCCTTCCTTCCTCGTCTTGCATTCTTCTTTCTTCTCCTGTCTTCTTCTCCCTTCCTTGTCCTGCCTTTTTCTTCCTTCCGTTCCCATTTTCTCCCTCCCTCCTTTCCTCTCCTGCCTTCTCTGTCCTTCTTTCCTCGCCTCTCCTTCCTTCCTTGTCCTTTCTAAAAGACAAGTAAACACCAATGTGTGGAGTTTCTGCGTGGCTATGACTGAGTTAACGTCAGCAGGGGAAGGTGGCTAACGGCGGAGGCAAAAGGTTGGCTCGATTGGTGGAGGTACGTACTCTGCATGGTACAGCTGGAAAGGCGTGAACTGTAATTCCAGGTTCAAGCAGCTTTCTGTGAAGAACCAAAAAGGGAAAAAAGTAACATGAGAACCAATGAGAAACAGGCACGGTTCCCAAACTTATAACCATTTGTTTAGTGGCTGTTGTGGTTATCCGGCAGCAGGTGCAGATGGCTGAGGAGAGGGAGGACTCTGATGAAGGGCCAGGACCATCAGGGAGTGGACTGCTGCCTTCAGAGATTGTGGGGGCTGGCAGCAGCGACGAGGAGGTTCCCAAGGAGCCTGTGCCAAGCGCACGTGCACAAAGGATTGCTCGGAGGAAAGAACAATTACAGCAGCACAGGCGACTCGAGAGTAAGGCTGCAAGGTAATGGCCCCTCCCTCAAGAGGATAAAAGCCAGGTTTGAAAAAGTGTTCTTTGCAGAAAGCAAAGAAGCTCTTAAGCTCAACTGGTGGACATCTTAGTTCGTGAATCTTGTAAATTAGTTCTTATCTCTGGGTTGTTGGCAGCCTTGACAAACAACTTGGCAAGGCTCTTTCTTGTTGGAGATAATGGTTGGAAAGCAGCCTTTTGTCTGTAAAGGAACAGCATTCGTGATTAAACCTTGAAAGGTGGGGGCTGCTGCCTTTGTCTGTGTTGGCTCTCTGGGAACCCGGTTGGGTCAGAACAGTGACCAAAGTCACAACAGCACTAAAAAAGTGACTCACAACCAGTCCTCACACCTACGACCGTCACAGCGTCCTGCCAGTCATGTGATCAAAATTCAACCGGACTGTATTTTCAATGGGTTGACGTGTCCCAGGGTTGTGTGATTATCCCTTTAGGTCCTTCCCAACCGGCTTCTAGCAAGCAAAGTCAATGAGGGAAGCCAAATGTCAACTTGTAAAACATTCCTATGCCTGTTTTCAAGTTGCATTAAACAAGGGGGGTGGGTGGGGGAATGTGAAGGAGCAATAAACGGCAGTTCAAAACCAGAAGTACATTCCACGCTTATCTTACAAAGATTGTAGCTAGGCTACCGGATCGTCTGCCCTCGAAAATCCTTCTTTGGAGAATGTGATTGATGACACCCAGCCCTGTGAACGTGCTTCATTGGAGAATCTGATTTATGATACAACCAGGGAGGAGGGGAGAAACAGGGTCATAGGCGACTGTAAATTATGTATGCCAGAGTTGCCTTCATTTAGGTTAATGCCGGCATATTGCTCCTAATAAATCTTTTGACGTTTTTTGAAGCTTGGCCCGAGGCTCATGATTTAATTAGGGCAATCGCCGGAACCCTGACACCAGATTCACTGAATGACCACCTGATTCACTTAACAACTGCGGTGATTCGCTTAAGCATGGTTAAAAAGGTAATAAAATCAGGCATGTTTTGTTTCACAACTGCCTTCTTTAGCAATGGAAATTCTTGTCCAAGTTCTGGTTCGTAAGTTGAGGATTACCTATAGGAGGAATCTCCAACCTTGGCAAATTTAGTCTTGGCGGACGTCAACTCCCAGAATTCCCCGGCCAGCTTTGCTTTGAATTCCGGACATTGAAGTCCACCAGGTTTACAGTTGCCAAGGTTGGAGACCCGATCTGTTTAAGGTTTACATTTGGGGATTATGAGCGTGTTCAAGAGAAATAATATCCTCAAACTGAAGGGAAATGATCATTATCAAGGAGTTGGTATTATTACCCTAGCTAGATACAATTTCCGAGATATTCTTTGAAAAATATACCAAGCCAAGTGTCTGCAAAAGAAGTCTCTTGATTGCAAGGTAAAAAGGCACTGCATGCTGGTTCTTGTAGTCATCATGGTTTCTATCACTTGGAGCAACTACTCTGTTTCCTGGAAAATATGACCTACCCTGAAAGTAAGTCCTAGCTTGATTTTTTTTACATGTGCACTCAATATAAGCCTTACCCCCCAAAATAAGCCCTAATTAAGAACCTGCCCACTCCAGAGTGGATGAGTAAAAGTTAAGCTAGGTTAGGGATCCGGGTGGGAGTGGAGCTGCCCTACTACTTACCTTTGGACAGTTGTAGCCAGACCTCGCACACCCCGACACCTGCCTTGCCAGCCCATTTCTTCTGCAGCCGACAAGGCTGGCAAGGCTTTCCTGAAGGCCTCTGTAGCTGATAAGAAAGCTCTGGATCGATCCAGAGCTCTGTTATCGTAAAGCCTTGCCGGACGCAGAAGAAGAAGTTCCTGAAGGCCTCTGACAGCGAAAAGGAGGCCGGGGGTGGCAATGCACGCAAGTTAGGTTAATCGGTGGATGACATCCCCCGAAAATAAGACCTGGTGCCTTTTTTGGTGGCCAAAACCAATATAAGACAGGGTCTTATAACTAAGTGTTTCTTTTCTCTTGTTAAAACAGCAGCCATGGGGAATCAATTGTTTAAAAGAGTCATGTTTTTTAATAAACAAGAAAACGTTTGTCCCAGGGACAACTGCACGAATGAAGGACCTTCGCTATTTTTCTTATATCCATTCTCTCGAAAGGGAGGCTTTTCAGAAAACCTCGAAGAGGCCAGGGAAGGAAAAACAGGAAGAAGAAAAAAAAGACGGCATCGGAGAGCAGAGCTGTGCGGAGAAAACTTACGTGCAATCGAATCCAGATTGTATTCCGAGCCGGGTTCATAGTCGCAATAAATATTAAGGAAGGGGCTGGCTTTGTCTCCAGAATCCTGAAAAAGGAAAATAAGACCATGAAAAAAACAAACACGTGGCTTATATTCCACATTGTAAAATGACAGTTAGCCCTCGACTTACGACCACAATTGAACCCAAGTTTTCGGTCGCTAAGCGAGACCGTTCTTAAGTGAGCTTGGCCCCATTTTACGTCCTTTCCTGCCACGGTTGCTATGCGAATCCCCGCCGTTGTTCAGTTAGTCGCACGGTTAAGTGAATCAGGCTTCCCCATTGCCTTGGCTTGTCAGATGGTCGCAAAAGGGGATCCCGGGATGACCGTCATAAATAGGAGCCAAGTGTCTGAATTTTGATCACGTGACTACGGTTGTGTGAAAAATGGCTATAAGCCCCTTTTCTCGGTGCCGTGGTTAACTTTGAACGGTCACCAAATCAAATCGTTGTAAGTCGA